AAGTGCAATTTTGCAACTCACAGCTTCACCATTTGCGGAGCCTCTGACATGGCAGGGGTAGGGGCTCTGATTTCGACATCATAAAAGCAGACAGAAAAAGAATCCAATGCAATCACCACCTACATTAGAATATAATATAATTTTTCAAAGTTTAAATAAATTACACAATGCATAGTTATTAATAACCTTAGACCCCTTCCCAATACATCTCAGATTTCATTAACATCGTTAGTTACACATTAAGTCACTAATATGCTAAACCAAACAAAGTCTTTACAGGTGACAAAACTATTTGGACTCTAGGATCCCCAACTTCCAATAGGACAGGTAAATATGCTAAGCAACGTGGAGGTAGAAACTTGGATCTTTCACTAACAGCTAGTCCGCTATATGACACGCTAAACGGGAAATAAATGGCATGATCTTGACCCTCGCATTCTTCATCACCTCTTTATATTATTTCTACCTCTGGATAACCTGGGAATACTCTTGGGATCAAATGAACTTGTCTCAGAAAAGTAAAACATCAACCTCCCGGTACATGAAATAGAATGTACTTTTTCATGCATCATGTGCTTATACCAAAGACTAAACTTGTCTGGTCAAATATTCTTTCACGATTGTTCTGACGTGCCACCGGTTAGAAATAAGAAAATCGATAAAAAGTGCAAAAAAAGTCAACCACATAGCAGCTGCTGCCATTGCTGAAGTGGGGATCCATCGTTAATCACCCCAATATCTCATTACATAATCATGATCTGTTTAAGTACGATGAAACACACTTGTTAAAAATGGTAATGCTAGTTTTGCTTACAATCTTACAATCTTTTCACCGGGGCGGGGGGGGGGGGGGGGGTTAGATCATATCGATGGCCGATGGCAGAGCAATGGAGATAAAGGAATATTTTGATCTCATCTGGCCTGTTGTTCCTCCCCATTTATCTTGCATGCAAAGAACGGAGAGCCGCGCAAAATGGGCTAGAGTTAGGTTTAGGGTTAGTACTGGAGTTGGGGTTAGGGTTAAGGCTAGGGCATTCTAGGTAGGTAAATTTGTCTGTGGTACACTGTAAAATATTGATTGGAGATTCGCTTGCCTCAACACTACCTGGTTTCCCTCTTCACCCCTTTGAAACGGAGGAGTGGCTGTCTGGAATGTCTACAGAGGTACATAGGAGTACTTCAAATTACCAAGCAACAATCCCCCGCAGGAACAGGGACATCAGATCAGATAAGAGGGGTGATCAAAACGTTTGCGAACTATCTCTATATTTACAAAACCTCAATTCAGATCAGTATGAAATATGGCACACATACATGTATACTCATACACATGTTCTATAAATAGCAGATGTTATGTAATATCTTGTTCTGTGTTTGTGACGCCATAATGTGAAAATGGCGTCAATATGTAGATGACTTGTGACAAAAAATGGTTGACTCAGTCGTATATGTACTCGAGCAACGAACCGTTGTAAAGTTTAACATATATCTCGTAAATTCCTTTGCAGTAGAATATGATAATTTGTACACGGTTTATGAAGACAAAAGACTTACCAGAGTTTCAATTATTAATTGGATTGATTGTTTTAGTGAAGACAGGGAGGTGTTAAGAATGATGTTTGTCCTGTTGCCCAGTGAAAGCAAGCCGGTAAAAAGATGTGTCTTTAGTTGATCAAATTGATTTGAAAGATCGCGAAGTTACAATTAGAAAAATAGTTGAATATCTGAACAATAATATGATTATCAAATCCCTAAAATATCGTTTATTTTAGACTTTAAACATATTAGATATGAGAAAAAGAAGGCACCCATACTTTTTTCACATTGGATAAACGACGCTCCCGAGACAGAGGACTCGGGTTAAGATGGTCACCATGCTAATTCGCTACGAAGCATGTCACGTGACCGCCTGGATCACGTGATTCGCGCATGAGCAGAACAATGACAGATGTGCATTATAATCGGGGAGGACTTCTTTAAAACTAATGAACACTAAAACCACATTTTATTAAGGTCTTTCGTCACAACGGAAGACCTTCTACTGATTCTGATGGTTAAGATTATTCTTTTTTTTTCTTCTCTTTTCTAGACGCCAACTTTGAGACCTCATATCTCGCTCATTTCTCAAAGGATTTTGTTCAAATTTTCAGAGTTTATAGACGTTACAAAACTCTATCAGAATGCTGTAAAACATTTCAAAAATCCACTTCCGCTTTTGGGTTATCTCCCTTTAAATGAAAATTTTGGGTGTTTCGTTTCCAGACAAAGGCTCCGAAACTACAAAAGCTGGAGCAGAAATACTACTGAATTTGAATAATAGAAGCATTGAGGTTGTGCACATCTATTTTTGTTTTTTGATTTCTGTGTTCAAAATGGCGCTAGATGGGGTAAAAAATTAGAACGCCTAATGGCGCGAAAATTTACACATATTTTCCTATGTATCTTTTAAACTAAAATATTTTGTTAAGACATGTTGAATAAAAGTTGTGCACAATTTTAAGGTCTTTCATTTGGCACCACCAAGAAGGGGCTGGTTCCTTAAATTAGGGATCGAGGGTCCTTGAAAGTTTTCGTTTTATAACTCAAAAACGGTAAATATTTCGATATAGCTGTCGCTAAAAGGTTGTTCTTTAACATATTATTGATCTCATGAACTTGTTATTTTGTTCGAGTCTTGTTTAATAAATGAACTAGAAGCTTGACCCATATACAGGTAACTAGTTTCAATTAGACAAGTGAAGGTGAAATCTTTATGCGCATAACTGAAATAAACTTGCTATAAATGATAAACCTATCCAAAATAAATACTAATATTACTTTAAAATAAGTTTTTACGTGTTCTGTGGTTTCATTCCAAATTATTGAGTCACACATTTTCAATACGCCTCGGAGTTTGTTTTTGTTTATAATTACGTAACCGGCCATCCCCCGATCACGCGTGACCTGGATCCAGTGACCAGTGGCCATACACTAAACAGGCATTGTCGTTCTAAATCTATTTTGCAAACTCAACTATGTACGGATAATTGTGGTTTTTTAATCATATCGGATCTTTCAAATTATTTCATCTTATCTATGTTGGTCATGTTGGTAATATACTTATTGAATTATTGTGGCCGAAATTACAAGAGATCCATTGCGTGTGAACCAGCGAACTGCGTCCGTAAACAAAACATCTTTTCGTCGTTTAATGTTTTTTGATCACCGCTCGTAGGTCCAAAATCATTCCAATCCTTTATGTCACTAACGCACTAACTCATTTGGATTTATTTTCGGCGCCTGTAAATACCACGGGGCCACCTGTTTGCCCGTTTTTCATTGTTACGTTGGTATCCAGTTATCTTCCCTGGTTAGTGTTTGCATGTGGTCTTACCAAAGCACTCTCCCATATACATGTAAACTTTGGACTCTTGGGCTCTTAAGTGAAATGATGAGTTGTGTGACAGACCCACATATAATTTTTGGCAAATGTCATTCACATTGCAAATCACTATATGCATTTTGTTTTGACCATATCATATAAAGCAAATATGAACTTATTTAGACAAGAATTGACAATAATGTATTTAACCAGGGAGCATTTATTCTGTTTCATTTATATTTGCGCGTAATTATTTCCTAAAAAGTACTTATTGATAATAAAATAATCCTTTCTTCATGTTGCTGCAATGTATGATTTTTGAGAGATATATGCCCATTTTGTGAAATTCTTGGAAATCTTGGAAATTTTTATCTGTGTGTTTTAATAAGAAAATTACTGCTTTAGTTTTTGGAAAAAATCCCAGGTGTGTATTCTTTTTTTTCTTACTCGACATTTCATAAGTAATTTCATAATCGTTATCATAAGTAAGAATTGTACAAGACTTAGAATTTTATAAACACCTTTTCTTCCAAAAAATTGTTTTTAAAAAAAATGCAAAATACCAATCATTTATAGACCATAAAATAAATGTATGTTTGTAAGATCAGTGTTACTTTATAATGATTCAAGTGTTAAACTTGACGTCATTTCTTTTCACAAATGCAATGAAAAAAAAAAGAATTTCTTAGAAAAAAAAAGAATACAATTGATATGAAGTTTTTACATTAAGATGATTTGATTTTTAAATTGATAGGTAGATTCAAGGACACTATCTACATTGTCATTTTAACAGTCTATATTTATTGTACTGATAACAGTATATGACGTTATGAGTCGTGAAAGCCAGTGTTTATAAACTCACACACACAAGTCGCCCCACAAGTGATAAAAATAATGATTAACATTAAGTATTATGGTGATTTCAGATGTCTTATGAACCTTTCATTCTATCAATAATAAGATAATAACAGAAACATAGTAACACGGATCTGGTTATTGTAATATATAAGTATATATGAAATTTTAAAACTTTTCTTGGTAGGTTCTGCAAAGAAAAAAAATGTTTTCAATTCATTTGTACGCTGTGTCTCTCTGTAATATATACTTTTATACCTTTCTGCAAATAGTTTTCCACCATTAGCCTTATTTTATCCCATTTTTATCCATTCATAGACTATCTTTAATATATTTTGTTTGCTTATAGTCAAGGAATCTACTTACTCAAATTAAAAACTATAGACATTGGTTTAAAAAATATATAAATCAATGTCTGTCTTTTTTTTTAAATTTGAGTAGGCAGTATGTCAATCATAATATATAAAATTCCGATGATGAGCATTAAATTTGCATATTTGTTGAAGGAATAGCGTATTTATATTGTTGCTTTATAACACACTTTACGTATATGGACCTATTACGTGATAATGAATTGATGCGATGTATATTTTTTTTTTATTTTGTGTCTTTGATACTCTTTCAAGTCACAAGTTATAGCTGTAAATTTCTTGCCATCTCTGTCCATTGTTGTCTATTTGAACCGCTGTCCATCATGTATGGTATATAGAGTTCTGCATTTTTAATAATTTTAAAAAAATTCTATTGTCGATATCAAAATTTAACTTTAATATGCCTAATCATATACCAGATGCTGGATGTGACTTACATTTAGCATGAAGGATTAAATAAACATAAAAATGAATTTAATGATTAGATATTGTCAAAAAAGCAATATCAGTGTCAACCGTTCTTCTTTCGATGGTGGATTATTGTATTCTTAATTTTTTTCCTTTGGTATTTCACAAACATCTTTTTATTCCATTGGAATCCACCCAGGGTAAATGAAGTCATCAATAGAATTATTTCGGAACTCTTTGGCAAATTCAGATCCGGGTCTAAAGATGTTCTTATAAAAAATAGTGGTTCCTCGCGCCATCCATCCAATCCACCAGCCAAAAGTTCCCACAGACACGATGGTATGATTAGCGAGAGAAAGCAAGGCCATGTCTTCTGCTGCTGAATTCCCTGTTGAGTAGTAAACATTCTTTTCGGTTGCTAGAGCCCTTTTAGACCACCCTATATCATTAGAACCTACAACAAATACTACATGTCGATATCTTTTTTTAAAATAGTCCATGGCATTCTTGTAGTAAGTTTCAGGTGGTGTGAGTTTGCCGTACTTATAATGCCCCTTGGTTGCATAATCTCCTCTTCTTATATGTACGCTGACTACAACATTATTGTTATTTGCACTAAATTTCATCTGATTAAGGATATCCCTCATCTGTGTGTATGCTTTTTTCCTTATCGGTTCTTTGAAAGTTAGAATATCGCGAATTTCGTCTTCATATTTGATCCAGTACTTCCATGACTGGAAGAAGCCATCAAATCTCACTCCTTTGGAAGGGGGTACACTGAGCAGATTCTCGTCATATGAAAGTCCCCATCTTTCTTTATGTAATGGTAATTTGGAACAAGCGTTTGGGGAGCTTTTTATTGCTGAAAGTGTAGTTTTTTGAATATTAAAAATTTGAACCAATACTGAGTTTTCTGGAAGAATAGGATATAACTTTTTAATCTTTGCTATAATGTATAGGAACACGTATTCAATCATAAGATTCCCAAGTCGTCCTTGGAAATGAACACAAACAATATCCTCGGAGTCTTTATAGCTGAATATATCTTTCTTCACAATTCGGATTGCCCGAGAAGTTTGTCCATGTGTCGTATGTGGCCGCCATATTTGTGGTTCATATACGTGGATAATTAGAAATAATAACAAAACACCGAATGTTATAAAAGGAAGACACGCTGAAAAAAAGAAATGTCATTTTTTCATCAAGTTAAAAATATATTCACTGTTACTGAGATTGATTACCAATTAAATACATAAAAATATAAAATGTCGTTTTTGAAATTCTTTATTTTTTCTCTTTATTAGTCCTATTATGGCTATTTAACCTAAATTAATTTTTATCAAATTCCTTACCTTTTCTAAGAAATCTCCGCATACTGACGTCGGCTTCAGATCTTTGTCTGCAAAATAAGCACCAATTAATGCAATACATTCACTTTTCTAATAGACAAGAAAATCTATCAGAGAGTAATAAAAGCATGTACTTGAAAAATATATGTTATAAACAATTTTAAAATCCTTGGATTCGATGATCAAAAATTACTAGTAGCTACTGTAAATTCACTTTTCAGTGAAAACTGAAATAAGACATTTGTCAAGCATATTGAGACAAACAGCAGGATTAGCTAGCTTCAGGAGTTGTGTTGTAAAATGCATTGCAAAATTATTTTTAAGAACCATTCGAACTTTTCGTTGTAATTGAAAATTAAAAAAAAAAACAACAAAAAATTGAAGATTTAAAAGTTATCTGCATTGACACATATGTTTCATGTAAGTAGGACAAAACAACTTAGGGTGAAGAAAAATTTTGAGATACTTCTTTGAATACATTTGTATATACATTTATTTCTTGAAATCGAAAATCGATACATAGGACTGAGTGTATGTTGTCAATTTGTTTATATACATGTATCTACTGATGAGCCCGTATGTAATAAACGTAATAAAACATACAATTTCCCCTGTCATTTCTTGTATCAGCCCTCGACCAATATCAGCCAGAGAGCCTAAGCCCCCTCTGGCTGATATGTGTGTCTTGGGTTGATACAGTGTATAATATGGAAAAGGGTACTAGTATGTATTATTCTCTATTAATTCATAAGGTAAGCAAAGTCTTATGGCACAAGGTATATCAATTTTTTATATCAGTTTGTTTGTTTTTTTTCAAATATAGATGCTAATCAATACAAACAGTTACTTTTGGGATAAATTTTGCAATAATCAGTCCTTCCTGTTTATCAATTTTATATCATAGAACAACATTTTTTTCAAATCGCTGTAGAGGTCCTTATATTTTTTTTTCTTAATAAGGGGTGCTCTAAAATATTTGTATTGAATTATTTTTAAAAAGTTAACATTAAAAGTTTAAAATAAATAGAAAATCAAATGATTATACTTATTGTAAAAAAAAACAAACAAACAAACATACACGATAAATACTCTATCAATCTTTTGTCTGCAGCCAGAGAAATATTACATGATACAAAATTACATTGACGAACGCACTTATTTCATAAGGATATCATACATGTCACTTTTTAAAGGAATCAGGTTCAGTAAAAGTGCTATTAATGCTTGAAAAATCGAAAAATAAATGTGGAAAGGAAAATGATACCTTATATTTAAAAATAAATCATAAGTTCATAAGTCCATCACACTCTGTACATATTGCCTACAAGAGTAACATCCACACTCTTCAAGTGCGTTAAGAAACTTAATGAGTACTTCATAACAGGAAGTTGATTATTTATACATCCTTGTGCTTAAAAGAAAACTGTTAGATTAGAGTCAGGTCAAAGATTACTTCCTCAGGTTTGCATTGCAAGTCATACATACATTAAAGGGTGTTTGGAATGAGCTGAATATGAATTATAATCTTCCTAATATAAACATTTGATGAAAAATCTCAAAACTTATTCAACAAAAAAGGACGAAGATATCAGCCTATAATAATTTTACATTTAATTATTAAAAACTTTGTAGCATCCGAAAACTGAAGACCGATAAACGAATTTAACAATATTGTCCTATAATCATCAAGAATCAGAGGCTACAGGTGGTACCAGTGTGCTTTCGGAATTTCAACACATTAAAAATGCTTAAACGTGTATACCTATACGAACTCTTTCATCAGCTAAGGGGAAAATTATGCATTATTAAGATTCTTCATTTTATTAGAACAGTGTTTGAGTGAAAATAATTAATTGCTAATTCTGCAATATACATACATACATACATATATATATATATATATATATATATATATATATATATATATATATATATATATATATATATATATATATATATATATATATATAAAAGACTCCAAAGTCCGATGGTCTGCGCCAAACCCCGATGGTTTTTTGTTGTACGGAAGCCAAAGTCCGATGGTCACGCAAAAGTCTGATGGTTCGTTTCCTATGAGGCGCACTGCGCTAAAGTGCGATGGTCTGACACGCCAAAGTCCGATGATGCGGAGAAACAATCAACGTTTATGATGTCACAATAATCCGACGTCAATTCTTGACGCCGTTGTCCTGCATTCAAAAGCCATCATTTCTGAATTTGTTCTCGCATGCATTTTTATTGATTTTGCTTACTGTTTGCATCTTCCAGAGATTTGTTTTAGTCCTCGCACACCACTCGACTGTTTAGGGTTAGTTTTTGCTTCGCACCAACCCGAAACAATAAGGGTTAGTCCTCGCAAACTAGTTGAGTAATTAGGGTTAGTCTCGCAACCATCAAAGATATCTAGGTTATAGTTGTTACACACTTTTCGAGTGATTAGGGTTAGTTTCGCACCTATCCGAGAGATTAGGTTTAGTTTTCGCATATTGATATTTATTTATCATGTTTATATTTATTAAAGACCTTTTCATGGCACGACATTGCAGGTTGACGCAGTAGTACTATGACGTCATAAACGTTAATTGTTTTCTGCACCATCGGACTTTGGCGTGTCAAACCATTGGACTTTGGCGCAGATCATCGGACTTTGGCGTGACCAACGGACTTTGGAGTACCATCGCACTTTGGAGTCCTACATATATATAATGCAGAATCAGCAATTAGTTATTTTCACTCAAACACTGTTTGATATTATGGATGTCAAATCGGTCAATATTTGATAATCGGTTACTCGGACGATTTTTTGATCGAGTACCCGGGTACTCCATCGAAAAAGTACAGGTAAAAATTTGATGATTTTTCAGAGACCTGTTTACCCAAATCGTTGTTTTCCATGTACATTAATATCGAGCCCAACGAAAACGAATTTTTGTACTTAATTTATGTATCAAACGAACTCAAATGTTGATCCTTACGTCGCGGGTTCGAATTCCACTGTGGGACGTGGAGACCGGTCCTTCGGATGAGACCGTATAAACCGAGGTCCCGTGTCGCAGTAGGTGCTGACACGAAAAAGATCTCTAACTACTCAACGGCCGTAAGTGCCTGATATAGGACAAAACTTGAAGCTCTCCACCTGCAAGTGGTGGTGTCTCCATATGAGTGAAAAATTCTCGAGAGGGACGTTAAACAACAAACAAACAAACAAACTCAAATTTTAAAGACATAATCGATTTATACACCAATAACTACAAAATTATTGCTTGACAGTTTTTGTTTAGGAAGACAATTTGATCAACGGAAGAGAAGGACGCAACTTTGTAATGATTAGACTTGTGAAAGAGAATATCTTTGGGAAAGGACATTGTCGTGATCGCGAGTCGTATATTATTACATTCCAAATGTTTTCTTTGTGACAACTCTTGAAACTAGTGTCTACTACAGAATTTACAATTTTTCAATTGTCATATACAAATTTAAATTGAAAAAATTCTAAATTTTTTAGAGGACACTAGTATTTACAACTTCAACCGTCATGCATAAATTATCCCACATTCCCAACTGCTCCGTAGCGTTCTGTTCACAGAAGCTAAAGGATTTTTCCTAGTCTTATATTTCTCACCATGCAAGTTATTTTTTAAAACAAGAATAGTCCTTTTGTCACAAATGGCCAAATCTCGGCAATAGGATGGGTGGATAAGGATTTCTTTTCCCAGAATGAGCATGGTGACCATCACAATCCGATTTCTCTGTCTTGTGTAGGTCGTTTTTCCATTGTGGATAAAGTATGTGAGCCTTCTTGTTAACATATCTTATATGTTTAAAGTCTAAAATATACGGTATTTTAGGGATTTAATAATTATAATATTCTTAAGATATTCAATTATATTTATAACTTTAACTTGGCGATCTTTCATAACAAATTGCTCAACTAAGGACACATCTCTTCCCAAGTTTACTTTCACTGGGACCAGAACAAAACATAATTTTAACCATCTCCCCTCCTTCACTAAAACAATCAATCGAATTAATGATTGAACTTCTGGCAAGTCTTTCATCTTTATACACCTTGTAAAAATTATTATATGCTATTGCAAAGCAATTTCCAAGATATACGTTAAACTTTACAGCCTTTCGTTGCCAGAGTACGACTGAATCAGCAATTTTTTGTCACAAGTCATCTACATATTGACGTCATTTTCACATTGTGACGTCACAAACATGGAGCAAAACATTGCGTAACAACTGCTATTCATAGAACATGTTTATGACTATATGTGAGCCGAATTTCATTCTGATTTGAATGGTGGTTTTATAAATATAGAGATAGTTCGCGAACATTTTGATTACCCCTCGGTCTCATCCGAAGTACTGCTCTCTACGTCCCGCAGTTGGATTAGAACCAGCGACGTAAGGATCAATTCCTTACTGCTCGACTCTAGAGCAAACGCTCTAAACACTGTGCCACTCAGGCGACTGAAGGTATAGATGACTCGGGTGAGCGTTATGACCAATGGGACTCTTGTTTTAATTCCTGTGAAAGTTATATTGAATTCATAGAGCTCGCAAGTTCGGGACCTCTCTGTGATTATATGTTTTCTTCCAGTATTTTGAGTTTACTAGATTACAACAAAGCGTTTAAAGAAAAACTTGATTGATTGAATGATTATTTAACATACCTTTGAAAATATAAGAAATTGAACAATTCTATTCCAGAAGAATATCCAGGTATTCCTGTATGGGTTTTGTTGTATTGTCATCAAACGTCGGGGTTCTTGCTAAACGCTTTAAGTTGGAGTGGTTTATTGCAGAATCATAAATGTTATTGTGAAAGTTGAACATCCACACCAGCACAGCAATGCAACAGAAGACTAACAGGTAATATTTTTGTTTGTTTATCATGCTCCAATTCTGTAAAAAAAAAAAAAAAAAAAAAAAAAAAAGGCAAGAAGTTTAAGTTACCTTTCGGTTCCATATTTATCATGTTTTTGTAATAAGTGGAAGTAGTTTTGTCCACTTAATATATCAACATAAAGTGTCAAATTC